CTTTCCCTCCAAGTCTGTTTTTGCAGCATCTATTCAAGGTAGAGATGCTTTCCTGGTCATGGCTGTGTTCAGTCTGAGTCCAGAAGGGCAGCAGGGCCAGGGCTTCAGCTCCACCTTCTTGGTGCTGCTGAGGACTGAGGAAACTCAACGCTTTGCAGCTCAGGCCCCTAAAGTGCATTCCCTGCTTGCATCTGCTAGTGGTGATCCTTGAGAAGAAATTTTGAATTGATGGTCTCTCTCAGACTGAACACAGCAGTTTTCTGGGTCTGTCTGGTGGTGGTCAGAGGGTTCAGAGCAGTTCTGCGTAGAAATCACGCACCTTTTTTTAATTGCTGGGGATCTGGCTGTTTTGTGAATGAAGCTACACAGGACCTTTCTATGCCTGATATTTTGGTGGCTAAAATTAAACTAAAAATGCTTGTAAAGATGTATTTTGGATTTCCAGTTCCCCAGAACCAAGGTCACTGCTTAGTGAAGCCCTCATCCATCAAGCCTATGCCCTTCCCTTTGCACCTAATCAGAGAACAGTAAGGAAATACAGAAACCTCTTTAATGAAAGCTTTGCAAGTAGTTAAACACAACCTTAAACCACATCAGCAAACTTCAGAAATCATTCCTCAGTGACATTGCCTTTCTTGCTCCTCTTTTCTGAAGATTTGCATCTGCTTCCAGTCTATTTTTCCAAACGTCTTTCTGAAGGTCACCTGAAATTTTGGTGCTGTGTAGTCAACTATACATAGGCAGGAATCTAAAGGTAAAAGTATCCCCTGTGCTGGATTTCCCATCTGTCCCTGCTGTGGAGCTGTGCAAGTGCTGAGAGAAAAGGGAAAAAAGGCCCTGGACAAGTAAAGGAACAGCTCTCAGCCTGTCTGCTGATGCTCTTCTGTGGCCAATGGATTAAAAAAAGCACACTGGGAAATGTTTAAGAAGTGATGTACCCAAAACATTTATTTAGTATCAGTATGTTGGACATAACGATGGTGTAAGTCTGCCTAGGCAAATAGGATATATCTCTGAAAATACTGCCACAGAGCTGGTATTTTTATCTTTATTATACAGCTGGGTAAATTGAGGCACAGAAAGGCAAAATTATTTGCTAGTAAACAGCAGATCAGTGACTTGAAAATAGATCCCAGTCCCCGATGCTGCTCCTTGAAATGTCCTGCCTCCCTACTCTCCATGAAGTTTCAAATGTTGATGTTCCACTGAAGAGACTTCAGGGGGCCTGGGTTTACTTGCAGGTGATGACAAGCACCATGGTCTTCTCTCAGCAAGGACATTTTACCATCGGCAACACTGAAAATCATGCAGTGCACAGTGACCAGCTCTTTAGACTTTTTCTTGCAAAAACAGACACATTTGGATGGACATAATGAGCTACAAATCCCTCTTGTGATTTTGGCCTTACAGAACATGCCTTTAAAGCTGCATTAGGTAATAAATTAAATCAGTACTCTTGAGGAGAAAGTGTTAATCCTGAGCCCATATCATGCTAAACTCATCTGCATTCATACTTTATACTCTCAGCTAAACATGCAACCATTCTCAAACTATGCCATGTTTAAGCAAAACCAACTGGAATAAAAAAAGAAAGGCAAACATATGTAACTACACCAAAATAAACATTATAGATTAAAAAATACTCTAGTAATATACTTGCAGTATTTTTATTATAGTATTTAGGGGCTAAGTGCTTTAGGCAATCAACATTTGGGTTACTAGACTCAAAGTGTAAATTCTGTCATTTTAATCCCACTTTGGATCTAAGAACATATCACTGTCTTGTGCAAGCACACAACATGAGTATGGTAGGGAATGATAGCACTCCTGGGCAAAGGGTTACTTATTCCCATTCAATTCTGTAATTGCACTCACTTCTCAAGAAAGTCTAGCCTTTAAAAAATAATTTTATGTAGCTAAACTTCTACATAGTGATGACAGGCTAAAAAGCTAAATTAATAACTCCATAAATTCCTCAACAGCAGTATATAGCAGCATTTCATTTTATCATCGAAAAGATACTTATATTTACATATAACCTATTGTTCAACAGGTAATAGAAAACTAGAGATGGGCCTGAGCTGAAAACTACTGATTTGAACATCCCAGGGCTTTTCTGGGGAAGGTCTGCAGAACATCATCTTCCTCAACCATCAGGCCAAACTCCACATCCCGGCGACAGACCAACGGGAGACGGGAATGCGTTCAAAATGAAGGTCTGATTTCTGCAGTTCAGGCACATCCTTATATAAAACTGAAAGCAGGGGTGTGTTGCAGTACCGAGGGACGCGACCGCCGGGGCACAGCCACGTCCTGCAGCCAGGCTGGGTCAGTGCCTGTCACTCACGGACACAGAGATCCAGTGGTACTGAAGTTGGACGTCCAGACAAGAAGCCAGGGTGAAGTTTGTCTTTCACTGCATCACTACTTTCAGTACAGAGGTAAATGGAGATATATGCACAGAGGTGTGACATGAAGGAAAGCTTTCAGGAGGTGGGGAAAGACCAGCGTCTCAGCTAGTCTCATCTGAGTCTAACCTGAGATCCTACATGAAATGAATTTGGGTGGATTCAGCTTTGCCTTAAGTAATCTGCAATCCACGTCATGGAAAGCACAACACTAAGCTATCTTATGCTGAATTTGGCACGATCGGCAGCCTCTGCCCAGGAGATGCAGTGACCGAGTTAAAATGGGCAGAACCAGCTTACCAGACCCTCAAAAGTGGTCCTCCAAGCCAGACCTACAATGTCCTCGGTGGGTCAGTTCAGGAGATGGGACACTTTCAGGAAACAACACTAATCAGTGAATGAAGAAGACTTCAAAGGGCTGCTATCAACACAATCCTGCCAGTACTCACACCAAGATGTAACCAACATCTTTTCTGTAGGGTTTTCCCTGGGGAATCAGTGTGATGCAAACACAGAGAAATGTGGAGAATTTCACAAAAAAAAGTTTTTTAAAGATAAAAAACAACGTGTGATGTAAAAAAGGAGGCTGATTATGAAGTAATAGCTTCCCCCAGAGAAGTGGTGCAGTCACCATCCCTGGAGGTATTTACAATACATGTAGATGTGGTATTTAGGGATATGGTTTAGTGGTGGACTTGGCAGTGTGCTAGGTTAGCAGGTGGCCTTGGTGATCTTAAAGGTCTTTTCTGATAGCAGTGCTAATTGCTATTTTTTTTCCTTCTTTTGCCTGAGAAGTCTTCAGCCATGGAAATTGCATAGTCACCAGATTAATTTCCTGGGATAAATCACAAGTTCATGCAATTTTTGGTTGCTTGATGACTTAACAGGAAACTTTGTTCCCTTTTTAATAATGAAATAATAAGAATGATAAGAAAGAAGTGTGGGAAACTGCACAGGCTGGAGAATCACATAGGTGACACCTCCTACCCTTGACCCTCAGACCCATTTATAATAAGCTGCTGCCACTCTCGCAGATCACCTTCTCCTCACAAGATGCTATTTCAGCAGCTTTTTGTGGACACTCAATTCAAACTGAGTAGTGGGGGGGAAGAGAGGAAGAAGCAGGAGGCGTTGCGACATCGCTTTCACGAGATGCAGCATGCAATGCTTATGCCTTTCAGAGGCCTTTTCTCCAGGCAGCCCCATGGGCGAGTTTATCCTCCCTTGGAGAAGCAGCAAGCTTGAAGAGCAGCCTGCTTTTCTCTTCTGAATCACTGATGCGTGTACTGTTTCTGAAATGGAGTCCTTGGCCACAGAGCTCCTTTCATTGCCTTATTTCACCCACCTTGCTCTGTGTGTGTGCTTTGAATGTTTGCCACCTCCTGTGCCTCGGTGGGGTTTTGGGGATTATACGACCGCATTGTTATCAACTGTTTTGTTGTTCTGGGAGGAGGTCATTGCATATTCAGCCCGACTGGTTCCGTTCTCTTCTTTTCTCATTGGTTTCCTTGGGTGATCCCAGGTTTGGTGATTTATAGGAAGGGTGGGGGAAGAAGAAAGGACAGAGATAAACATTATCTTTGTCAACACAGATTGAAAGCAAGGGTGTGTAAGGTGCATCATAATGCTGAACTTTTCCTTTCTATTTTCCCTTTTAAAACACAGGTCAAACCAGCAGCTGTACTTTTTTCAAGCCCCATGATTCACCTGGGAGATGAAGGGTCTGGTCCTAAGCCCTGTTGATGGGCTGTCGGTCTCCTCATTCTAGCCTGTGTATAGATACAAGTGTGTATGTTGCACGAGACAAAGGCTGCTGGAAGGAGAGCCCTACACCATGACCTTCACCCCTAGAATGGAGGCTTGGGTGCTGGGTCAGGCTCTGCCTTGGGGCAGTCCTAGGCCTTTCTCCTCAAAGTGCAGTATCATTCAAACTGGTATAACCAGTCGTGTCCACTGAGGACCCAACTCATTCACCAGTCAACGTAAACCCACCATGTTTGGTCACTAGCAGAGGATTCATCTGAACATCGTAGGTATGTATACCTGTGGTGACCACTCCAGACTACCTTCACAGTCAATGGAGAGAAACAGGTACTTTAAAAAGACAGTTCACAACAGCTCAGTGTGGATACCCAAAATAAGTCAGATGCTTTGTGCCCAAGGCATTCATGTTTCTCTGCATTGCCTATGAAGAAAGGCTACTTTACTAGACCAGAAACAGATATCCATGTTCTAGGTTTCTGAGTCAGTGACTGAAACATGGTGTCTCCTGTGATCTACCAGTCCCTGAGCACCAACCACTGAAGCATTCCCTTTTTATTTTGTTTAGTGGCCAGTGGCACCATTTGATAACAGAGACCAGGACTGCCAATGCTAATTGTGAGGGAATTCAGCAAATGCTCAGCAAGCGCAGAAATCTAACAAGCATCTGCACATCATGGAACAAAATCCTCTTATTTGGGGTTTTAAAGTGACTCTGTGAAGTAAGACCTGAGCTCAAGTCCTGTGACAGCTCATGTAACATCATGTGTTTTCCCCCAACTTCTTTCCTCAAAAACAGTGTGACCTTTATATACAACTGAAGCTGTACACGCAGTAGGAGAGAAAAAACCTTGTGTTGTCCACATGGATATTTCAGACATTAGTTCTTTGAGATTAAGGTGCTTCTAAGGGGATAAAGAGGACCAGACAAACTAATGTAACACAACAGTCAGTCTGTGCTATTGTTCTTTACATGGTTTAACAAAACAAACAACAATTAATAAAAAATTAAATAGTTAAGGACATTACATTTCAGGAAAGTGTTAGTGAAAGATTTATGAAGAATAATTACAGGAAAATAACTTTGTTTTGCTTGTAATCTCAAAGAAAATACTTGTGACTGTGATACGCCACACTTAACTGGTAAGAGTTAAGGCTTGTTAATATTAGCTACAATTCCAGAATGGAAATGGAAGGAAAGGGGACACTAAGAGCCTTACTGAACCCTTTTTTTATCCATTAACATGCTGTGCCTGTCTCTAACTGACACAAGCTTTTATAGCTCTGTCTTTCATGACACTGTAAAGCACCATCCACACTGTCTCATCCCTGACAAGAAGAATGGAGAATCTGACAGCAATACTTCTCTTATTTTCTTCCTGGTAGGAAAAATGGTGTGGCTGTCTTGAAACTTCTTTGCTGCTTTCAAAAATGCCTTTTTTTTTTTCTTCTTTTTTTTCTAACTCCCCACCCCACTACAGCTCCAACTCTTACAATTAGTTCTATGAATGGTCAAAAAATGAAGACATTTTGGTCAGTTCTAATTGCTAGCTATTTTTCTCCTATTCACCCCTTCTTTCTTTTGCTCTATGTTTTTCTGCATCTCTCCAGTTCCATGTTTTTTCCCTATGTAGACTTCCTCTTTCTTCATGTTAAAAAATGTCTTCCTCTGATTTTTACCTACATTTTTCTACATTTCAAGACTGACTTCTTCAGTTCTCTTGAAACTCTTTCCTTTCCTTCCCCTTTTTTTTTGCCTCAGTTTCTCTTCCCAAGAGCCAGTTTGCTCTATGCCCTCCCCAGGCTGGTCTCCCAGCACAGACCTTGGGAGGTTCGGAGACTCTCCTTTGATGGTGAGACCTCTCTGGAAACACTGCTGGAGAGGTTCCTAGTGATACTACACCACTGGTACCAGCATGCATTAGAGGTGTATTTTTTTCAGAGCCTGCAAATAGTGGAACCGGGTTCTGCTTCTGCTGATCAGCTGCTCAAGGTTGGTGCTAGCAAACAGAGCAGCTGCTTTCTTGGGTCTCAATTGAAATGGTTATTTGACATATTTATTTATGTATTTCTGGCAGAGACAAAAATTCAGGCTTGGACAATGCCCTGTTTTAACTGTTTCAATCAATTTGTTTCCAGACATGTCAGGCATGGATTTGGGGTCAAACTGGCCTCGGTTACACCATTTAAATGACTGGCTTGACAGACTTGTATGCACTTGTCACAGTGCTTAAAATTGATCTATGTATTTAGAGATGGAAAGATATTTTGGCCTGCTGCAATTTTTCAACAGCCCTTTTACATTAGGGCACTGTGTGTCACAAGCTCTTTTTTACTTCAGTTTCATCCACTGTTGAGATCCAAGCGTGTGGTTTTTCCTCTTACACACCAAAGGAAGCACTTTTATCCTATTTTCTGCCTGATAAACTAGATTATGCATGGGCTTCCTATGTGTAATACTCCCAGCCCCCTTTCAGTTGAGATGCTGTGGCCCTGTATTTATGCACTTCCATAACAACAATTAATAAAAAATTAAATAGTTAAGGACATTACATTTCAGGAAAGTGTTAGTGAAAGATTTATGAAGAATAATTACAGGAAAATAACTTTGTTTTGCTTGTAATCTCAAAGAAAATACTTGTGACTGTGATACGCCACACTTAACTGGTAAGAGTTAAGGCTTGTTAATATTAGCTACAATTCCAGAATGGAAATGGAAGGAAAGGGGACACTAAGAGCCTTACTGAACCCTTTTTTTATCCATTAACATGCTGTGCCTGTCTCTAACTGACACAAGCTTTTATAGCTCTGTCTTTCATGACACTGTAAAGCACCATCCACACTGTCTCATCCCTGACAAGAAGAATGGAGAATCTGACAGCAATACTTCTCTTATTTTCTTCCTGGTAGGAAAAATGGTGTGGCTGTCTTGAAACTTCTTTGCTGCTTTCAAAAATGCCTTTTTTTTTTTCTTCTTTTTTTTCTAACTCCCCACCCCACTACAGCTCCAACTCTTACAATTAGTTCTATGAATGGTCAAAAAATGAAGACATTTTGGTCAGTTCTAATTGCTAGCTATTTTTCTCCTATTCACCCCTTCTTTCTTTTGCTCTATGTTTTTCTGCATCTCTCCAGTTCCATGTTCTTTCCCCATGTAGACTTCCTCTTTCTTCATGTTAAAAAATGTCTTCCTCTGATTTTTACCTACATTTTTCTACATTTCAAGACTGACTTCTTCAGTTCTCTTGAAACTCTTTCCTTTCCTTCCCCTTTTTTTTTGCCTCAGTTTCTCTTCCCAAGAGCCAGTTTGCTCTATGCCCTCCCCAGGCTGGTCTCCCAGCACAGACCTTGGGAGGTTCGGAGACTCTCCTTTGATGGTGAGACCTCTCTGGAAACACTGCTGGAGAGGTTCCTAGTGATACTACACCACTGGTACCAGCATGCATTAGAGGTGTATTTTTTTCAGAGCCTGCAAATAGTGGAACCGGGTTCTGCTTCTGCTGATCAGCTGCTCAAGGTTGGTGCTAGCAAACAGAGCAGCTGCTTTCTTGGGTCTCAATTGAAATGGTTATTTGACATATTTATTTATGTATTTCTGGCAGAGACAAAAATTCAGGCTTGGACAATGCCCTGTTTTAACTGTTTCAATCAATTTGTTTCCAGACATGTCAGGCATGGATTTGGGGTCAAACTGGCCTCGGTTACACCATTTAAATGACTGGCTTGACAGACTTGTATGCACTTGTCACAGTGCTTAAAATTGATCTATGTATTTAGAGATGGAAAGATATTTTGGCCTGCTGCAATTTTTCAACAGCCCTTTTACATTAGGGCACTGTGTGTCACAAGCTCTTTTTTACTTCAGTTTCATCCACTGTTGAGATCCAAGCGTGTGGTTTTTCCTCTTACACACCAAAGGAAGCACTTTTATCCTATTTTCTGCCTGATAAACTAGATTATGCATGGGCTTCCTATGTGTAATACTCCCAGCCCCCTTTCAGTTGAGATGCTGTGGCCCTGTATTTATGCACTTCCATTCCAGAGTTGCTCTTCATTGCTGCAAGCGATATTTCAAGTTAGTGATGGAATGAGTAGCAAACTGTTCATATCTGTGACATACTCACTTGGTTGCAGGTGAAACAGGCTGTTTGCTAACAAGTGATTTGCATTGCTTTACAGTATGATTTGGTACACTTTATGCTTTGATGTTTAGCAAACAGTGGTGCACTCATCAAGCCAAACATCTGCAAATGAAAGGTACATGCAACTCTGTACAGCGAAGTACACGCCTGAAACGATGCATCAGGGTCCGTACTGACCTCTCCACCATGCATGCATTAATTTGCATGAGTCCTAAAATAAGAAAGCATCAAACAGCCATTTAACAATGTATTTCATGTGTCAAGCTTAAATTTCAGATGAGGTTCTGATCACATTAAAAATCTTATTTTTCAAAGAAATTCCTATTTGGCTCAATGGTCACATCCAAAGGGTAGTGGTCAATGGCTCTAAGTCCACATGGAAAACAGTGACAAGTGGTGTCCCTCAGGGGTCAGTGCTGGGCCCAGTGTTGTTTAATATCTTCATTAACCATATAGACGGTGGCACTGGGAGCACCCTCAGCAAGTTTGCTGATAACACCAAGCTGGGTGGTGTGGTCGACATGCCAGAGGGATGTGATGCCATCCAGAGGGACCCGGACAAGCTAGAGAAGTGGGCCCAGGTGAACCTCATGAGGTTCAACAA